TCAGCAGCATGCTCGGCCAGATGACCTCCGTCATGGACAACATCGCAGCCCTCGGGGAGCTCGCGCGCGTGGGCAATGCGCTGGCCCAGTCTCAGCAGCAGCCGACTGTGCCGACCCCAGGGGCTTCGGGCGTGACCTCCCAACCACCACCAGCTGTTCCTACGCAGACCAATGGCGTCTCTACGACTTCGGAGCCGGCTCGTGAGCTCGTCGGTGCGCTCGCGGATGCACTTCGATCCAGTGTTCCAGGAGACGCCCGCCTGTAGCAGACGGTGGGCCGTTTACACAACCTGGTTGGCTCCACCCCTGGGTCAGGCACTTCGACTACCCCTTCGGCGACAGGCTCAACGACGGCACAGGCCGACACCTCCATAGCCAACCATCCCATCATCCAGCAGCTCCAGGGCAACATGGCGACCTTGCAGACCACCGTCGGGTCTCATGGGCAGCAGATCGGCAGCATCAACAACACCCCTGCCAGTGCAGCGGGGGACTCAAGGGCGACTCGCCAGGTGATGGAACGGATGCTCGGCATGCCTCAGCCCGCGCCCCAGGCAGGGCCACCTTCCATCCCGCCCAGAGCGGGCCCGCCACCTTCGACTCCAGCGGCGACCACACGGATCACACCGACTCCTGCAGCTGGTGGCCCCATTCTGCCAACGACTGGCGGTGGTGGTGCGGCCCCTGGCCCGTCAACCCTATTTAAGACCCAGATGACCACTGCGGACCATGATCATGCGTTGAGTGTCTTGGGCATCGGCGGCGGGCGCCATAACATGGTTCAGCTTTCCCAGGAGATTGCGTCTGCCGAGGGCGCTTCGATGCCTTTCAGCGAATGGTGGTCTCAGATTCAGCGGCGCAAGGGATTATCACAGTGGCAGACACAGCTTCAGAGTTTGGGAATGCCAGCCACCGACATCCACTGAACGAGCAGTTTCACGAAAGTTGGACAGATCATGTATGCCCGAATGCTGCGTGACGGAACTTGGAGTGTCACGGATCTCCAGAACATTGTCATCGGCTGAATAACAGATGATCAAGCTGCTTCGTGGTTGGTGGCCGCAGATCCCACAGAACATATCTGGCCACTGTTTCGATTCCTCTGAATTCTCATCCCGATAATCGTGGCTGTATGGACGGCGCATCAGACTTGTATCTTCGGTGGGTTTGCTCGGATCTCAGCCGAACGTATGCTCACCTTTGCGATCCAAAGGACAGTAACTATACTCCCCTTGGTTGGCAGTCGTCTCTTGCTCCAACTGATCTTCCCTGAAGTTGGTGGGTGGTTCCAGTCTGCTGCTAAACTGTTCGGAAGCCGTCCTCTCAACACGTTAGCCTCTTCCTCATCGGTACTGGCGGATACACAACCCACGGTGGGAGAGACGTGGGCGTGGTTCGCCGCAGTAGCCCAATCCATTATGATCGGAGTCTGTGCCTGGATAAGCCACTAGTGGTAGCGATGGTGATCTCAGTGCTTGCTACAATTAACTGCATCCGTGATGGCTTGAGAGAGCTCTTGAGCCTGATGCCGCGGTTGCTTTAGCATCCCACCCCCTTTATCATTTTGGTCGGGATGTGTGTGTGTGTGCGTGTGCCTTTTCATTCATTTCAATGACTTCTGACGCAATTCCCAGCACACACAATGCTTCTCGGTTAGAGATTCCTCTTCGTACAGTAGCTCGGAACTTTTATGCTCTGATTATGTTGGTCTGATGTCTCGGGCTGTCTGCGTGGGGTAATCCGCACGTTGCCGTTTTCGGGACTCTTGAGATCTTGCTGGTGTGCCAGTGCAGGTTCTCTGTCTTCCTCTTCCTTTCTCTCCTGCTGTTTCTCTTCTTCGCCTTCGTCCTCTTGCCTCTTGGCCGTGGCCCTGCTCGTCCCCTCGCCCGTGCCTCCTGCTCGAAATCCTACCAGATAGCTGCCGTCTGGGTATCACTGTGGCAGCCTCTGTGTTCGAGGCCTCCGAGCGGGAGGTTTAGGAGCTCGCTTAAGGCCTGCGGGCCGCAAATACGTATTGGCTTCTCGCTCGACTGTGCCTGTGCCAAGATACTGCAAATATTCACTGTACATCTTCTCTGATCCGATTGTTGCTTCTTTGATTGCTGACGCCTTTCGGCGATAGAGGCTTCGCCTCTCCTGGCACTCAACGGTGGTGACTTCTCGGGCGAGCTGGTCTACGGGAGCTTTGTTATCTTGATAACAACAACTCATCCAAGTGTGTGTGTGTGTGCGTGTGTGTGTGTGCGCGTGTGTGTGTGGGGGGGGGGAGGGGGGGGGGGGCGCATTTTCAGGGGTCTGCTGACTTGAGGTGTCTCGCGGAGGGGAGGGTTCGGGGGGGGTCTGGGCACAAGGCCTCTCTTTTACGGCTGGTCTGGGGTGGATCTAAATTTCTCGTCTGGAGGGGTTTTGACCCCCTCCCAGAGTGCACACATCCGCTGCTTCGGGCCTCGGGAGTCGATGCTCCAGGACCCCACGCGGCCGCGGATAATGATCTCCTGCACCCGCCCCCCCGGGCCCGAGGTCACCCACATCGGGCTTTACGGCTTCGGGTGGCGACACGTCCGGGCGGTTCGTCGTGGCAGTGGGCCGCAGCTGGTGGCGGCTAGTGTATGGGCGCGCTATGGCCAAGCGCCGCATCGGAGCGTGCTCTCTTGAATCCATGCTTCACCATCCCATACGACAACCCACATCAATTGCCTACCGGGATCCTGGGCATGGGTTCCCGAGGGGGTGGATATGGGGGGGACGCCAAGATACACGTTCGTAGGTCCGCGCGGATCTCATAGGTTGGCGCTAAGCCCTTGGCGCTGAAGCGCCGCCACAGGCGTGTGGAGGCGGGTCTAGCGCCGACCCAAGAAATCCTCGCGGACATCCGAAATGTATGTTCTGCAATTTATCAAGCCGTCGACAACGACAGCACACCGGAAAACTGGTCGAACCGACATTCCCCCTGTTACAGGTTATGGGCCTGTCACCGTGGTGACGCAGGACGTCCGAAATAATGACAACCGACCGAACCGAACTGGCCGAACCGACCGTGCACACCCATGGAACCCCCTCCTGATCGCAGGCGGATTCGGCGACCGACCTGGCAGGGCGCGGCCTCTACCAAGCCCTGATTCATGCTGCTCTGATTTACTGACAGAGGAAAACGGGACCAAGAAAAACTCGGACACACATCGGGGATCTCGGAGATCCGGAGATTCGGAGGCCGTCTCGGGCGCGCCGCAGCCGTCTCAAAGCGCTCCGAAACGCTCTGAGACGGTTGCGGCACCCGGGCATCCACCGAGGTGTTCTTTGTTGCAGTCCGCGGCCCCAGAGGCCCCGACCGCCTCCCCCCGAGTGTGGCCTTGCCTCCCGGGTCTGGTTTTGGTGGCCCCCGCGCCCAGCCACGGGCCCCAGAGGCCGCAATCGAGGAAACACGCCCTGACGGAAACCAGACCGTCGGAGATCTGGATCGACTTATCCCGCTTCTGGGCCCGCCCAGCTTGGGGAGAGGGGTCGGTAAGGCTGCAGGCTGCGCACAGACAGCCCCCACAAGTAGTCCCGGCTGGCCTCGAACCCCCCCGAGCAGTCCCAGCTGGTCTCAGCACTTCCACCGAGCAGTCTGGGGTGGTCTCAACACCCTCACGCCGCCTCCGCAGGCGCCCCTGGGGCGCAGAGCACCCCAGGGCCCAGGGTTGAAGCAATGAGATCGCGCCGGACTACACGGGAGGCCTGTTGAGGCCAGCTGCGACTACTCGAGGGGGCCTGTTGATGCCAGCCTGGAATGCCTGTGGGGCTGCCCGCGCGCAACACGAAGCCTTTCCGGGAGGGGTGGCGTCGCGCCGCCCCTGATCCAAGACGAAGCCAGGACGAGGAGAAAACCGGGTGATGATACATCGAGAATCCGCCGACCCTGCCGGCGTGTACAAGAAGCTCGTTCACTCGTCGCTGCTTGATTCGTCGTCTCCTCGTCGTCGTCGTCGTCGTCGTCGTCGTCGTCGTCGTCGTCGTCGTTGTCGTCGCCGTCGCGATTCCAAGCTTCTCCTGGGTCGCCTTCTCCGACGCGCCAGTCGTTGCCTCTCTCACCCTGGGCCTTTCTCTTTCAACGTGCTGGCAAAAACGATAATGACGAATGTCGTCATTCATTCGAAAGGAAGCCCCTTCCCTTGTCCCTTCCCCGCCGGGGGGGGGGATCCTGGAGGGGGTCCCCGGGGGAGCCCGGGGGGAGGCCCCCAGTCAGAATGGGGCCCCCCCCCCCCCCCCCCTTTCCCTCCCTCCCCCAGGGGGTGGGCCCCAAAGCCCGAACCGCCCCAAGACAAACCAAGACTGCCCCAAGAGGCCCCAAAGACTCCCCAAAAGAGCCCCGAATCGCCGAACTACCGGTCCACGACGCCAAAGTAGCCTCCAGACGGCCCAAGAGGTTCCCAAGACGCTCCAAGAGGCCTCCAAGAGCACTTCCAAGAGGGCCCCAAGAGGCAAAAATGACTGATTCTCCTAATGTTTGTGGTCGATTTGGGGATTCTCGCCTTTTCGGCTTCCCGACACTCCAAGACGGCCCAAGAGGCCCCCAAGATCGCTCCAAATATAGCCCAAGAGGCCTCCGAGAGTGCCCCGAAACGATCCAAGAGGGCCCCAAGAGACCTCCACGACGGCCCAAGAGGTCCCCAAGACGGCTCCAAGAGTGCCCAGACGGGGGACCCGAACGTTCATTTCGAGCCCTCGGCCTGAGAGGTTCCCAGGAAGCGCCAAGACGCCGAAGAGACCCCAAGAAGCATCCCTGAGGACTCTGACCCACGTCAGTATCGTCGTCGTCGTCGTCGTTGAGGGTCGGCAACACCGGCCGTGCGGCCTCGCCAATCTGTAAAATCCGGCGGCTCTGAAGGGTGTACGGGGCGTCGCGGCCTTATCAGAGCGTTCTGGAACACCCTGGGAACGTTCCGGAACGCTCTGGAACGGGTTTAGCCTCGTCCTAGCCAGTCCGACGATCTGACCCCGAAAGAGCTGGGCAGGGCAGCCTCCGGCCCAGACGAGGACGTAGTCCGCCAGGTGCCGGATCGAGCTCCACGCGCGCCTCTCCTCGGGGGGGGGTAGCGACCTCCTCCTCCTCCTCCTCCTCCTCCTCCTCCTCCTCCCTCCTCCTCCTCTCCCTTCTCCTCGACTCTTCCTCCTCTCCCGTCGCCTTCTCATCCTCCTCATCCTCAATACGTATTCCTCATCCTTCTCCTCCTTTTTCTACACCGCCTCCTCCTCCTCCTCCTCCTCCTCCTCCTCCTCCTCCTCCTCCTCCTCCTCCTCCTCCATCTCGCGCGCCTTCGCGGGGCATCCCCCGGCGCTGCACGCGCTGAAGGTACGCAGAGCGTTCCTCGCTGCGCGCGCCCCCCTCCTGGCCAGTGGCACGATTTCCTCCTTCCCCTCCCTCCTCCAGCTCCCCCTCCTCCTCCTCCTCCTCCTCCTCCTCCTCCTCCTCCTCCTCCTCCTCCTCCTCCTCCGCTCCTCCTCCTCCTCCTCCTCCTCCTCCTCCTCCTCCTCCTCTGGGACGGCAGTGCCACGTGAGGTAGCACAGGCTGGCGTGAATATGCTCATGAACTCTGCCCCTCCCTCCTGGCTCCCTATTGGGGTCGGAAGGTTGCGCCGTATATGCCGTGGCAGTCCCACAGTGCCCTGGTTTGTCTTATCCGCCTGAGCGCCTGGAGGAGGGGGAAGGAGGAGGAGGAGCAGGAAGAGGAGGAGGAGGAGGAGCAGGAGCAGGAGGAGGAGAGGAGGAGGAGGAGGAGGAGGAGGAGGAGGAGCAGGAGAAGGAGGAGGAGGAGGAGGAGAAGAGGAGGAGCAGGAGGAGGAGGATCGATGATCGAGGTTAGCGGACGTTGCTGGCCGTTTTCGGACCTCTGGAAACCCTCCTTCTCTGCGGGCCTCCGGGCGTCTCTGGAGGCCTCCGGAAGCGGGGGGGGGGTGAGGAGGGATCAATCAGGACAGTGGATTGAGCCTCCTCCTCCTCCTCCTCCTCCTCCGCCTCCTCCTCCTCCTCGAGGATCGAGGTTGCTGGACTTTGCAGAACGTCCGTTGCGGTACGGAGGGGAGAAAAGGGGGGATCGGCCCCCCGTAATGGACGCTACGGGTTCACCGAACGCAGGGACAATCTCTAGCCCTGCTCTGGGCCTCTAGAAGCCTCTTCTGCAGGCCTCCCCGCGTGCCCCTGGACACCTCCTGAAGGGGGGGGGGCGGATGGAGAGAGAAAAGCAGGATCAGTCAACATCGAATCAGGAAATCGGATCGGGTCGGAATGTGCCTCGGATCCTCCTGCGTCGGCACAGAGTCGAAACCGAATCGGATCGGCCGCGCCAGGATGCACAACCGCGCCGTACAGCCATCGGTCCGCATCACATCGTCAGAATATCGGAATCACATCGGATCGGATCGAGCAGGACAACACCGACGTCGAATCCGATCGATCAGATCCCCCCTCCAGCAAGTGCAGAGGTGTTCGGATGATCCGGACATGCGCGCGCGAGAGGCGCACTCGGTCGCAATTTCACTCCTGCGGCCCCCACCAGAATTCTCAAGAGCGCGCGCGTGTTTTGTTTTTGGGGGGAAACCCACGCGGCACAACCGTTGGTGTACTGTTCATGCGTTGCGGGGGCCTCGGCGCGACATGCTTGCGAAACCTACGGTTTTCGGAACATTCTGGCGCGCGCGCGACGACGCGCGCGTCGAGCCTGTCACATATATCGCATGGGGTTGTTGGCAGTGCCCATGCGGAGGCGAATGCGATGCCTGCTTGGCGCTGGCTGGCGCGCAGAGCGGCCAGCTAGTCTGGCGCGACCGACGCGGCCGCGGTGGCGCTGACAGTTGGGGATTTCCGAAGTCTCGCCGGCCGCGCTGCCGCGTGGGCACCTCAGTATGAGTCCGTGATTCGGGCGGGCGCTGTGTCATGATCGGGCCGATGCCGATGATGGCCTTCGCGCGTCGGCGATGAGGGTGTTGGGCGGATTTCGACACGGGCGCGCGGCCGAAACTTGCGTGGGCTTGGCAGTCTGAGGATGCTTGCCTGATCGAATGATAGATGTATAGGATGGGCAGTCTGGGAGCGGGAGGCGACAGGGGAGGCAGGAAGAGAACATACAGGAAGGTGAAGGAAGAAGGATCAAGGACCGGATGGATGAGGCAGGAAGAGGAATGCTGGGGGACGGTGGCAGAGCAGAGATGAAAACAGAGAGGGAAGATGACACGAAGGGACTGGCAGGGGCAGATACCGCAGCGGAAGGGATGATTGATCCCCATTCTGAAATTGCCGTCATCTCATCTGTCACTGCAGCTGCTCCTGCCGCTTCTGCCAGTAGCTTCCCCATGCAAGTGCGAAAGAAATGGACGCACGTGGATGTACACTTTATGGCGGTGTCAATGATGCCCCACGTGTGGACGAATCACCAACAACACATCCCAACTTTCACACGTCAATGACATCCTGTTGAACGCAAGCTGACGAAAAGAAGGACGGAACACTCCGGGCTGGTAAGCAAGCGCCCGAGCGTTGCAATGTGCTCGTGATTCCACGTGTTCCCGTCGGCAATGGACGTCCGCTTGGCGATGCCAGTGATCTGGTAACCGTAGTCCCACCAGGCCATAACGCGTGCATCCTTTCACCGAGCATGGCGGCACTGAGGAGACAATGTGCACAACATTTGACAGTCGATTCGACACGCGCTGTGAATCGACAAGCAGAGTAACCCCTTCTCCCCCTCCATCCTGCCCTTCCGCCACCCTTCCTTGTTCTTCCCTTCCTGCCGAAGCTCGCCCCTTTCCCTTCTCACCCATCTCTTCCACCTACCCATTCCTCCCCTGCCGCCCTCTTCCCCCCTCCTCCTCGCAGAGTTTGTAATCAAATAGTTTCCTCGAGTCGTACCCCTGGTTCACGCCAACGGTAACGAAGCCCCTACTATAACCCCGACTCGTGGATCCGCACAACGCTTTGGCGCCCAGTCGCAAAAGGAGGAGGAGGAGGAACCAGATCGAGGATCGAGCCTTGGTCATCCCGAGACCTCCCGAAGCCTCGGAGGTCCCGCCTGGACCCCCAGAACGCTCCAATGGCGGAAGAGGATCTCCTCGTTTCCCTCCTCCTTCACCTCCTGCGACTCCCACACGTTGAAACGAATGGGTTAGTGTCCTGTCCCACCATGGTAGCAAATCAAAAACGAGTGCCCAGAAACCCAAGGCTCCTCCTTCACCTCCTCCTCCGCCTCTGCTCCTCCTCCTCCTCCTCTTCTCCCTCCCCTCGCCGAAGCCTCAACGCCGCGGGCGCACGAGTCCAAGCCGCCCACGCCTCCTCCTCCTTCCCACTCCTCCTGCTCTTCTCAGGAGGGGCAGGCGGAGGAAAACACATGAAGAGGCCTACGGTCGCGGCGGCTCGACACACCATGGCCGACGCCGAATAAAGGGGACGGCCAACTCGGCCAGAAGCCTCAACACAACGAAAACGCCACCGACCTCCTACGTAGTACCGCTTGGAGCCCGATGCAAGCGCGGAGGAGGAGGAGGAGGAGGAGGAGGAGGAGGAGGAGGAGGAGAAGGATGAGGAGGAGGAGGAGGAGGAGGAGGAGAAGGACAAAGAGCGCCAGCTTCGAGGCTTCGAGCGTCGAGGAGGGGACGAGGGTGAGAAGGAGGCGCAGGACGACGACAGGGGCGGAGCCCTCCTCCTCCTCCTCCTCCTCCTCCTCCTCCTCCTCCTGCTTCTCCTCCTCCTTCTCCTCGTCCTCTCCTGAGGGGTACCCCAAAACCTGACCCCGCGCCACCCGACTTCCAGTCCGCAAGGCGCCAGTCGGGCCGCGGGAGGGGGGGCCTCTGGCGTGTTCTGCTCGACCCACTGGTACCCCTTCAAGTAGTCGTCGATCACCACCGCGGTCCCGTTCTGCGCCGATGGGGGAGGAGGGCGAGGAGGAGAGCCACACGATGTGAGAGAGCACGCCCCGGGGTCGGAGGCGGAGGAGGAGAAGTGAAAGGAGCAGGGGGGAGAACCAAAGTGAGAGGTGAAAGGGAGGGACGAGGAGAAGGAGGAGGAGGAGGAGGACGAGGAAGATGAGGAAAAGGAGGAGGAAGGAAGGGAGGGAGGGAAGAGGAAGATGAAGGCGATGAGCAGGAGGAGAGATACGAACGAAGAGATGAGAGGGGGAGGGGGAGGGAGGATGAGGAGGGGAGCAAAAGGAGAAGGAGGAGGAGGACGAGGCACAAGCGGAACAGGAAACGAACGCGAGGACGATAGAACCTCATTGACGAAGAGCAGTTGTCGGAACGGAGGTCAAGCGAGGGCCACCCAAAAGGAGGAATGGCAATCCCAGCTGGCTCCAAAATTGAGCGCCGCCGCGGAGAACAAAAGCGAGTTCTAACAGTGGCATGACGGAAGCGGGTCCTGAGGGAAACGGATGCTCGACCCCTGGGTCTTCCCCAGGACCACGCTTCGATAACTAGCAGATCGATTGCTGACGCTTCCAAGGACCAAGGAGGGCCCCAGGAGCCCCACATCGGCAAAACCTCAGGGCCAGTCCCCCTTCAGGAGCCACATGCTGCACGGCGAATAGCGAATAATTTCGAGTGTCATTCTCAGTTGGCCCCGCCCGAGCGTCGCCCCTTTGTCCAGGGCGCGCGCTCGACACATCGCCGATCACGGAGGCCAGCGCCGCGAACGCATGACAGAGCGGGCGGCCAAGGCTACATCCTTGAGCGGGCTGGAGAACGCTGCCACGGCTGCGCACGACCCAGAGGGCAGGAGCAGCCAGCATCGAACCGCTACATCGGATCGGATCGAAGCGCGCATCGAATCGGGCAGCACCAGAGCGGAGCAGGACATCGAACCGAATCGAATCGGTGGCGCAAGGATTCAGAGCGACGCCATGCGGAGCATCGGCCCACATCGGATCGTCGGACCTGCGGAATCGAGCCGGGCCAGGCCGGCCATCATCGACTTCAAATCGGAGCCATCGGCTCGAGGCCGAGACGTGCAAGATCCGGATCGCTCCAAGACGCGGTCCACAGAAAAGCGAGCATGTCTTCAGGAGCGAAGAGGACGTAAAAACAAAAACGCCATAGACATCAACTTTTGGCCTTCCGCGCGAATTTCTTGGATCTGCGCCGGACCCCCTCCCTGCCGCGCGGGGCGCGCCAGGGACGGCGCCAGGGGGGGCCCAGCGCGGATCCAAGATATCCGCGCGGAGTACCACAAGAGTATGTTCATGGCGTTTTCTTGTTCTTCGATTTGCCAGGAGAAGCAGGCACGCTGAGGACTTGAAGGATCGACGGTCCGTCCCAGCAGAATACCCTGAGGTGCTGGCGTCGCATTGTTCCTACGACCCACGACTTTGTCCTGTTTCGGGCCCGGGGACCCTCGCGAATCGATCCCACTCACAACATGCCGAAGAAACATGGGGTCTACGGGCTCTGTTCGTGATTTTTCACCCGGTTGCATTGTTTGACAACCTCGGACCTCATGAGAGGCCTCAGGGTACACACGCGAAAAATGGTCTCTGCTGTTTACGCTTGTGCCTACGCTGCTCTGTACGCCTAGCGCCGCTCAGCCAGAGTGTGATTGGACGCCGGAAGCCTGGCCCTGGCGAGGGGCATGAGCGGCGGGCATCTCCACATCGGTGCTCTCGCGGAGCGCCCGCTGCGAGACCAGGACCCCCAGAGCTCCGATGGTATGCTGCGTTCCAGCCAGCCCCCTAAAACTGATACGGAGCAAAAAACTGGCCAGTGTCGGGACCTCGGAGGGGAACATCTGCAGGAGGAGGAGGAGGACGAGGAGGATGAGGAAGAGGAGGAGGAGGCGGAGGATGAGGAGGAAGGGGACGAGGAGGACGGAACAAGGACAAGGAGGAGGAGGAGGAGGAGGAGGAGGAGGAGGAGACGGAGAAGGACGACGAGGAGCAGAGCAAGGAGGATGAGGAGGAGGAGCAGGAGGAGCACGAGCTGGAGGAGGAGCAGGCGCCACCGTGGCCGGCTATATGGAAGGTCCGAGCGCCCAGGAGACGTCCTATTCCGTGTGTGTATGTGTATGTATGTGTATGTATGTACGAATGTATGTGTGTATGCATGCATGTATGTATGTATATGTATATATAAATATATGTGTGTGTGTGTTTGTGTGCGTGTGCGTGTGTGCTCGGTGTTGTCTTTGTGATTGTATATGTGCTTGTGCTTGTGTTTCTGTTTATGTTTCTGTTTGTGCGTCTGTTTCTGTTTGTGTGTGTGTGTGTCTGCGTGTGCGTGTACAAGCCTTCGGACATTCCCAGGTCAGAGCTCGGAAGCAAAAGCCAATGACAGCCTGCACGGCCTGCCCCCACGGGACCGCTGAGGTCCGCGCGAAGGTGCACTACCGAATACCACTCCCCGAGACTCCCCTGGATACCATCGCAGTCCCTCAAGTCGGGTCCAGCACACAGGACCCAGGAGGCACTTCGGCCCAGGCCCAGACAACCTTACGGAGACACACGTCAACCAAGGGAGCAGGACCCCAAGACCCCCGACCAAAGGGCCGCCCAGACGACGCAGGACCAGGAAGGACCCACGCCACAGGCCAACAAGCATTCGGGGCGGCCTCAACGCTGCGACGGGCGCGCTGTCATGGAGGCGGGGCAGCATGCGAACGCAGCCACTGTGGCTGGGGCGGGGCCTCCCTATGGGCCCGCGGAGCGTGGGATAGCCACTGGCGCCACTGTGCGCAGAAATTGAGCGGCTTCCCCCAATCCCCCTCCGTGTGTTAGTAGTTGTGGCCCAATGCTTGCGCATACATCTTGCGCACATGTTTCGGCACTCTGGAATGATTTGTCGTCGGCGGTGGTAAATCAATCATGTAGTCGACCCCGTACTCGATTCCTGATGTACAGAAAGCCGATCTTCTACAGGACACATGGAGGTGGTGGGAGTGGATCTGGATCGGCTCCCCTCCCTCAAATGCCACGATGCGGGAAAATTCGGCATCACGAAAATCACAACCGGAGCCCCAGATCCCATATGTCTGCAGCGCATTTCGAGCCGGACTGATCTGCGAGGGTCCTGGGGACCGAAACTGGGCAAAAACGCTGGGCGTAAAAAATTACAACGCCCGGATCTCAGGGCTCGTCGGCGTCGACCGCCGTCGTCCATCGCCCTCGTCGACCGCGGTCGCCGTCGGCCGTCGTCGTCGTCGCCGCCGTCTTCGGAGGCGGCCACGCTGCGGGGTCCCGCAGGGTGGTCTGGAACACAACCTGCGGGTCGGACAGCTCCCGCGCGACGGCGTCGCACTGGCTCACGAACCCGCTGACAGTCGCCCCGGCGAGGCCGCTGCGGAGGGGGCGGGGGGGGGGGGAGGAGGAGGAGGACGGCGAGGGCTGCGGAGGAGGGCTGCGGAGAGGAGGAGGAGGAGGAGGAGGAGGAGGAGGAGGAGGAGGGTAGGGAGGAGGAGGAGGAGAGGGAGGAGGAGGGAGGAGCAGGAGGAGAGGCGGAGGAGGAGGAGCAGGAGGAGGAGGATGAGGAGGAGGAGGAGGAGGAGCAGGAGGAGGAGGAGGGGAAGTGAGAACGACGAGGGGGAGAGTGCAAACCAGGTGCGCTCGCACCACATCTGACACCCCATCCTTCCCTTCCATCCCTTCCCATGGCGCTGCTTTGTTGTCTCTCCGCGGACACGTGTCATAGCCGACCTGGCACTCCAAAGAGGACCCTTATCGTGGTATGCACAATCGGAAGAATAAGCTGCGAACATCGGGGGAGGTGGCGGGTGAGCAGGAGGATGAGCAGGAGGATACGGAGGACGATGAGGAAGGAGGAGGACGAGGACGAACAGCAGCAGCAGGAACTAGAGTGGAAGGAGCAGGATGAGCAGGAAACGACATTGTGAAACCCCGTCTTTAAACAATACGAGGAGAGGGCTTGACGTACTCCAGGCAGAATACAGGAAAGGAGAGAGTAGTACTCTTAAGGTATAACAAATGAGGACGAGGAGGACAATGACGTGAAAGGGGAGGACGGGAGGCGGGGGGATGGGGGCGGAGGGAGGAGGGAGGAGGAAAAGGAGGAGGAGGAGCAGAGAGGAGGATAGGCAGGGAGGAGGAGGAGAGGAGGAAAGAGGAGGGAATCCAGGGCAGGACGAGAGGAGGGGCAGGAGGAGAGGATAAGAGGAATGGGCATGAGGAGGGAGGAGGAGAGGGGGAGAAGGGGGAGGAGGGAGAGAGAGCAGGTCCTCGTTCTGCCATCCCCTCTTCCCACTCGCCCCCCCCCCCC